TAGAAGCAAACTCCTGCCTTAACTCACCTTCAACGTTATCTTTTTGTGTCTGTTAAAACTCTTTGGAGAGGGGTGGAAAGCCGGCTCAGTGGTTAAGGACACTGGCTACTCTTTAGGAGGACTTGCGTTGCAACATTGGAATCCCGGCTGACAGGGTCGTGGAAACAGACCGTCTGCTTCCAGTCTTTCGTGCTGGCAGCAGTCAGCATGGTCCCGCCAGGAAGTGGTATTTGTTATGGTTGTCACTTTAAGAGACAAGCCACGCCCACTCCCGGCGACCCCTGCCCTCCTCTTGCCATCTTGATTCTCTCTGTTCCCTTATGGCACGTGCCCTCTCTTCTCTCCTGCTCCCGTTCTCTGTCTCTCTCTTCCTCTTCTCCTTCTCCCCCCCCCCCAAGTAATACATATCCAATTCTACTCTGGACGATGTGTCTGTCCGTATGCCTTCTACCCGCCACTTGCTCACACCCCCGGGTTTGCTGGGACGAGCCCGCACCGGCAGCCATCTCTGCCTGGGATGGCTGTTCCCAGAGCCCGCTGCCTTCCTACTGCTGCCGGGGATCTTGCAGCATTTTTAACAGTATTGCTTTTGGTTTACTCTGTGGGTGGATGAAGAACATCCTAATGGCGTCACCTGCCTATCCTATCCTGACATCTCTCCTTGCATGGATCAGAGAAACCAGTATTGGCACACACGCATACACATGTTAGCTTTCTATTCCTGTGATAAAACACCATGACCAAGGCAACTTACAGTTGTATAAACTGACAACATGGCTGCTCCATGGTATGGATAAGAGGAAGGCTTGCATTGTAGATATGAGAGACAGAACAGCCAGAGGCATCTAGAAGAGTCCAGAGCAGAGAGAGAAAAGTAGAGTGGACATGGCCAACGGACTGGATGTGGCCAGGGCTAACTGTGAGAGAAGGGAGAACAGCAGAGAATAGAGAAAACAATGAGAGAAGCAGAAGGAGAGAGAGAGAGAGAGAGAGAGAGAGAGAGAGAGAGAGAGAGAGAGGAGAGAGAGAGAGAGAGAGAGAAGAGAGAGCATATTGAGATATAGCAGGGTTATAAGGAGAATGTAGGGGAGGAGGTAAGAGGGACTAGGATGATGAACTGTTGTCTAACTGGTGCTTGTGATACTGAGGGAGCCTGGAGGCCAGCATGAGCTCTGATTGGCCAGTAGGCATCCCAAGTTGTCTGAAGTCCTTTTTGCCAAAGATAAGGGAAATGACTCCTTTTGGTTGAGGGGATTCAGTGTCACGAGTTCCTGAGAATGCTGGCTTTTATCTAACCACCAGAAGTCCTCCTATTGTCCAGGCTGAGTTTGTTTCTGGATATTCGGACTACAATTTGGAAATTAGTGAATCAGAGTTTCCTTTAGAACTAACAATAGAAGGAGGAGTTTATCTGGGCTTATAGTACCAGAGACTTAGAGTCCATGGTGGTAGGACAGGGGCGTAGCAGCAGGAGCAGGAGGCTCACATCTTGAACTGCAAGCATGAAGTTGAGAGAGCAAACTGGAAATGACAAACGCTCAAAGGCTCACAAGACCATGCCTCCTAAGCCATCCCCAAACACCACCACCAACTGGGAACCAAATATTCAAATGTCTGAGACTGTGGGGGACATCTCATTCAAAACACCACAGCCTGTGCATGCGTGTGTGTGTGTGTGTGTGTGTGTGAAAGAGAGAGAGAGAGAGAGAGAGAGAGAGAGAGAGAGAGAGAGAGAGAGTTTGTGCTGACTACCACAGAGTGGATTCAGGGACCCCTTAGGTCCTCTGTAAGACAGGCTTTCCCTAAGCACCCTGACTGCTCCCTAGAGCCCCCACTAGCAGAGCACAGTGACACACGACTCTGGGAATCAGGCATTCAGACCCTGAGTCCAGCCATCTTTGGAAAGCCGGATCACTTCCCTCTCTCGACTGCACAGCCCCGCTCTAAATGCCTGCAGCTCTCTCCAGAGAAGGAGTATGTGAGAGGAGATGAACAGCAAGACATTTTGGCGGTGTACCAAATTCCTTCCAAGCAGGTACCCAGCCCCTCCTCCAGGCACAGATCCAACTGTGGGAAATGATTGAAGGCTCTGATTCTGATTCGGCTGTTTGGGTCGTATTCCAAGACTCTAGACCTGAACCCGCCCACTCAGATGAAGTGAGATTCAGTAAACGCACGCATGTTTCCTTTCTAGGAATTCCTTACAAGCCCACGAATGCCAAGTGCATCTGTGAGTCAGAGTTCGCGTGTTACTATTTTGGCTTCACTACCCACTGTAGGAACCTTGCTCACCTGTCTCTGTGATGCAGCACCACACAGCCTGGCATAGTGGTGCACGCCTTGAATCTCAGCACTCAGGAAGCAGAGGCGGGTAGATCTGTGAGTTCAAGGCTAGCCTGGTCTACACAGTGAGTTCCAGGACAGCCAGGGCTTCAGTGAAATCCTGACTCCTATAACTAAGTGAGTAGAGAGCCACCGGCACCTCTGGCTTCTCTGACTCCTATCATGCTTTCTGCATTTAAAAATATTCTCACTTCAAGGGGTTGGAGAAATGGCTTGGTGGGTAAAGGACTGGGTCAGCCTCATGACATGAATTTGACCTTCAGAGACCGTGTGAAGGTGGAAAGAGAACACCAGCCCCACAGAGCTGTCCTCTGACCCACAGAGGACAGACATAGACAGACAGACAGACAGACAGACAGACAGACACACACACACACACACACACACACACACACACACACACATACATATACACAAATGAAAATGGCCCTCACAGGCTCATAAGGAGTGGCACTATTAGGAAGTGTGGCCTTGTTGGAGGAAGTGTGCCACTGAGGGTTGGCTTTCAGGTTTCAGATGCTCCAGCCAGGCCCAGTGTCACTCTCTCTTTCTTCTGCCTGCCAGTCCAGATGTGAAACTCTCAGTTACCGCTCCAGCACTATGTCTGCCTGCATGGTGCCTCGCTTCCCACCATGATGATAATGGACTAAACCTCTGAGCTATAAGCCAGCCCCAGTTAAATGCTTTCCTTTGTAAGAGTTGCTGTGGTCATGGTTTCTCTTCCCAGCAACAGAAAGAAACCCTAAAACACAGGGTTTCACTATGTAGTCCTGGCTGGCCTGGAATGTGTTTGCAGACTAGGCTGACCTCAAACTTACAGAGATTCTCCTGCCTCTGTCTTCCAAGTGCTGGGATTAAAGATCTGCACCACCACACCTGGCCGTAAAACAAACAAACAAAACAGCAGCAGCAACAACAACAAAAGGCATGGCATCCTGAGGAATGGCATCCAGTGTTGACCTCTGGCCTCCATATTCACACATACACATGCATCCACACCTGCACACACACCTATAGCATCCCCCCAAACACAGAAATTCCAGTTCAATGGTTGCCATTTTGTCAGAATGGCCTACAAGAACCACTTCAGAATTCACCAGTTTGCCTATGACTCATCTTCCCACATTTATGTCTGAGCCCCACAGTGAAAACTGTCCCCTTAGCCATTCTGGTGTGTGTGGATAAGGAAGCTAACCCAGTCCAGCAGAGTCACCATCATGCATTCCAGTCTTCCTCAGCCTTTGAGTTCAGCTGAACCTATCGTCTGGTAGCAGGCTTAAGATGAGGAGGGAGTAGGGGGAGGTCCCCAGCAGTAGCTGCACCCCACAAGGCAAGGTCCTCAGGAAGCCACGCTGGTAGCTCCAGGCAATGGACAACACATATGCACAGAAAGAGGAAAAGGTTTCGACTACCAAGTAAATAAATAAATAAACAAATAAATAAATAAATAAATAAAACCAGAATCTGGGGGTTTGTGGTGGTCCCTGGGCATGGTGGTTTGGATGAGAGTGGCCCCCATAGGCTCTGATGTTTGTGTGCTTGATCCTTAGTTGGCGGGATTGTTTGGGAAGGGTCAGAAGATGTGGCCAGTGGCTCAGCAAGAGACCAGGTATGATGGAGCCTGCTCACATGTCCCCATGCCTTCAGGCAGGATCACATTCCCTCCCAACCCCTGCCCAGACTTTTAACAAACAAGCTTGGATATTCAGGTTTTGTCGTAAGTGAATTATCCTCAAAATCGGACTTGGCATCTTGTTTTCAGAACTATCTTAGTCAGCGTTCTGTCGCTGTGAAGAGACACCATTACCACGGCCACTCATAAAAGGAAGCATTTAATTGGGGTTTGCTTGCAGTTTCAGAGGGCCAATCAGTTATCAGGGCAGCAAGTATGGTGCTGGAACAGAAGCTGAGAGCTACATCCTGATCCATGAGCGGAGAGAAAGACAGCCTGGCAAGGGCTTTTGAAACCTCAAAGCCCACGACTGCGGCACACTTCCTCCAACAAGGCCACACCTCTTGGTGTGTAATGGTTCTATGTCAGCCAAGCTTAATCCTTCTAATTCCATCAAAGAGTTCCACTCCCTGGTGACTAAGCAGTCAAATATATGAGCCTACGGGGCCATTCTTACACAAACAACTGTAGAAACCCAGAGTCGCGTGACTCTGGGGAGCACAATTCATGCAGAGAGTCTGCCGGGAGCTTCAGGTCTTTCATGGAGCTCCTGAGCTGGGCATCTGGGCAGGATGAGGTCATATGATCCTGACCTCATCTGGTCCCTAAAGCTAAGCAGACTTGGGCCTGCGTAGTATTTGGATGGGAGAACTTGAGCAGGAACCTTGGTGCTCTGAGCTCAACATTTTCATCCCATGACTCTTCCATGCAGTGAGACGTGATGAAGCAGCCCGCAGACGCCATCACTTACTCTTGTGGGCGCAAAAATTCTGTCACACCACATGACCTGAATGAGCAGGTAAAATTAAGATGGGAGCCCCTGAAGCTGGCACGGCAGAGTATTTTTTTTTTGACAAACATACCCTGGGACACAGTAACGAGAGCTAAGATGACCTCCCCAAAGCCACAAGGGACTTTACTGGCCACTGAGGCAGTGCATGTATGTCAGTCTGCCTTTATCTTTTCTATAAGTCGCACCAAAACATCCGCTTAATTTCTTTAATTTGTGCCATTTCTATAAATAAAGAATTTTGGTACCAAAAAAAATATTTTGTCACACAAAGCATTGTGGTCTACAAGAACTTGATAGTGGAAGCTGCCGGTGACTGAGGAACAGTTAGCCACATTCATGCCGTGGGTGATCACCGTGCCCAGTCTCACTGGAAACAGTAACGAACGAAAGAAAACTTTTAGATCTAATTAGGTCAGAGAACAATTCCAGAAAACCCAGAACTCACTTCTGAGTGTCTCCTCCTCCTCTTTCCTCTTCCTCCTCCTCTTCCTCTGGTGATGCTGGAGATGGAACCCAGAAATGCACATTAAGCAAACATTCTAGCACTGAGTAAAATTCTGTTCTTCTGAGCCACTCACAATACCAGCTTCTGTATCAGCAAAGCTTGATCTCAGCTCACTCTCACACATACACACTCTACACAGACACATACACACATATATACACATGCATTTATGTACATACAGTACACATATATACAAGTGTATATACATATACACACAGGTATATATATATGTGTGTGTGTATATATTATATGCACAGACCCCCACATATATACATAATACACATTATACACGCATACTCATAAATACACAGTATACAAATATACACACTGCACGCACAGATATACACATACACACACACACACACATACACACACATGCACACAATTCAACCTTGAACAGGTGCTGAAGCTAGTGAGGCTCTGTTTAAGACTATGGTCACTGAACCTGATGCTGGAAGTCAAAGGCCAGGGGCAGATGAGGGCAGGTATGTGTAGGTGGGGTCAAGGACAGTGAAAAATGACCTAGAACCCGGAAGGCAGGCTAGAGCCAGCAGGATGAACCGAGCCGTTATTTGGGTGAGTTTGTGTTGACTTCGACCTCAGGATGTTGAAACAGGTCTTAGAGGCAGCTGCTGCTAATGCACCAGCTGTGCTTAGGATCAGAGGAGACTTCTGTTTCTCAGGCATTCTCTTCTGAGCAACAGGTGAGTCCACCTGGTGGGTCCACGTTCTGTGACTGTAGTCAGTATCCGTGCCCCTGCTCCCCCCAGTAGTGACAACATTCTTATGTTGAAAAGGCCATGTCTGACCAACCTCACATAGTGATCAGGCTCGCTATGTAACTGCAAGACTCTTGTCAGGCTTCTGAGGACACCTGTGCCAGTGAACACTCTTTTTCTGGACCATTCATTACGTATTCCCCTCTGGTTTTCAGAGTCAGAAGCCAGCCCTGATTCGTCTATACCCACAGTTGGGCCCCCGGCCTATGACACCAATAACAGTGTGGGTGCCTTGCTGAAGCCCAGGTCCCTTAATCAGAAGGCCCAGCACAAAAGTTACACTCAGAGTTGAAGAGGCTGAAGGAGGAGCAAGGGAAAGAACACCATGTGGGTGGAGGGAACTCTGGGGAATACAGTTTTAAAAAAGGCAAGGCGAAGGGAATTCTGGAGAATGTAGTTAAAATAGCCAGGTTAACACTGCGAAGCCATCTCAGATTGGTTTCATTTGCTTGCTTGATTGCTTTTTGGGATGTGTATGTTTGTGCGCGCGCACACACACACACACACAGATATACAAATGTATGTGTGCGCGAATGGAGGTCTGTGCACACACACACGTAGATATACAAATGTATATGTGTGCGAATGGAGGTCAGAGGACAGTTTTGTTTTATTTTTCAGGCACCGTCTACCCATTTTTGTTTTGTTTTACACTGTGTCATTATATGAAAATCTTCCCCTTAACCATATCATGGAGTAGCCATGTATGTATGTGTGTATATATGTGTGTGTGTATGTATGTGTGTGTATGCCTATGTTTTTACTACTTCTCTATTGCCGTGATGAAACAACACCAAGGCAACTTACAGAAGGAAAGGTTTATTGGGGCTTACAGTTTCAGAGGGTCAGAGTCCATCACCATGACGACTGGGAAGCATGGCCCCAGGCAAGCTTGCGACTTGAGCCGCAAGCTGAGAGTTCACATCTTAAACCCCAAGCAGGAAGCAGAGAGAGCAACTTGAAATGATGTGCAGCTTTGAGATATCAAAGTCCTCCAATCCCATACTTCCTCCAACAAAGCCACACTTCCTCAACCTCCCCAAACAGGGCCCTCAATACTTGGGGACCAAGTATTCACATGCCCAAGCATATGGGACATATCAGTCAAACCCCCGCTCTCACCTATGCATGTGCCAATGGTGGCCAGAGGTAGGCTTTGGATATTTAACTCCATGGCTCTCACTTTTTTTTTTTTTAAAAGGGTCTCTCGCTGATCCTGGAATTCACCATTTTAGCTGGGCTGGCTGGCCAGGAGCCCCAGAAGTCTCCAGCCTCCACTTGTCTGGTACAGGGTTTGCAAACACACCACCATCACGCCCATATTTTTCTTGTGGGCTTTGGGTTTTGAACTCCTGTCCCCACACTTGTGTGGTAAGCACTTCCCCGACTGAGCTGTCTCCCAGCCTAGGTGTGAGCCCCCACACCCAGCTCACACTGCTTCCAATCCTGTTTAACCTATCTCCCAACCCTGAGAGCCAGAGCCATCCACTCACCAGCCTGCAGCACCCTGCACCAAAGTGGGCATGGGAGGTGCACACATGTATACCCCACTGCGACATCAAGGCTGTTGTACCTGAGTCCTGAAAGCCCTCAGAGCCCACAGTGTCAAGAGCTACCTTTCCCTTTAAGCAGATTATCTCCAGCTAATGTGATCTGACCTCGATTCTTCCAAAGCAAAAGTCTTGACAGCTCTGTGCAGGAGGTTGGCTGAATGACAAGACCAATTCCATTAACTTTTGGCATCTGTCCCATTCAACGTGCCTCATCTCAGAGTGGAGGATGAAGACAGACCACAGGGCGACAGACATAAGAGGTGTCTTATATCCAGAAGCATTCAGGTAGCTGGTGAGCACCCTCTTGGGAGCCCAGGAAAGATTTCTGGAAGTTTTCCAAGTTGGAGATTCCCTGTGGCTGAACCCTGAAAGTCCCAAGAGCTCACAGTGTTGAGTTACCTTTTCCTTTTGCATTTAATGAAAGAGTAGCCCCCATATTTTACACATACAGATGAACACACACACTTGGAAAGAGAAGGAGAGGGAGGAAGGGAGAGAGGGAAGGAGGGAGGGGAGGAGGGAGAGAGAGAGAGAGAGAGAGAGAGAGAGAGAGAGAGAGAGAGAGAGA